TCTCAATAAAACATCTTTGCTGATGTTTTTCCGAGTCTTATGGCCTTTGATCAGAATCCAGATTGTTGCCGGAAGTCCCCACGGAGAATAACTTTGCGGTAGAACTATTATTTATAGTATACTGAGAGGAGCAGTAAGCTGTCAGAACAAAGTGAAAAACAAACAATGACATAAAATATTATTAATATGTCGGGTAGCAATATATTTATTTATTTTCTTCTCAAGAGAGTACCAGAATGGGTATCTTTATATGTTAGTATTTCAAAAAATCTCCTGGGGGAGAATCCCCCCAGACCCCCCTTCTGGGGTTGGGTTTTCAGCACGTATGTTATACAGTTCAGCTTTGATTCCATCATCTCATTAAACCTTATTTAAAAGCATACTTTAGTTCTGTGAAGGGATATAAAGGATATATGCACTGTACTTCACTTTAATTAATAATGTATGCTGAAAAGAGTGTATAGCCTATTACTGAACGATTTTTTGTTGAATAGATTTGAGTGGTTCAAAATTTGGGGTCGCGATCTATTGACTAAGGAAAAATGGGTCCCTAGGCCTGACCAGTTGAGAACCACTGGTGTAGACCACAAAAGGCAGAAATAAACAGGATAAGGCGTTAATATGCCACAGTATTCTTGCTAATGATAGTAGACAATCCATAGCTTATGAATATTTCTGAGCAAATCTAAACAGGATCAGACAATGTGTTCCAGATCTGAACAGGATTAACTGTGATACTATGCTAATATCGTCTGTTAATTTGCCCTAATTTTATACCAAATGTAATTTCTGTTAACACTGTGTGCATATTTATCTAAAATAGATTCACACAAATTCCCTATATTAACTTTGTTTTGGAAAGGATTCCTTATTGGTCCCAAATGGAATGCATTCATGTGACTCAAAAAGCCTCCATAAGGAGCACTGTATGATCATAACCATTTGGTCTAACTGAAGTAGTTTAGTTTGGAGAAAAATATAAATCAGCACTTGTGCACTACCTTGTTTTGAACATCTACAGTATAATAAAAGAAGAATCATTATTCATGACAATCATTCATACTTCCTGAACTACACTTGATAAAACACAAATCTCTGTTGTAAAAGCCAAAAACTGTTAACTGAGTACAAATCACATCTGTTGTTCCATTTTTTCTGCATAATGTTTTAAATGGTCATTTCTCTATGACAAGAATAAAAAATGAACTAAGTTGTTTACTGTTACATTAATCCTCTCATATTCTGCAATGCTTTTCTGGTTTATTCTCTACTGTTGGTTACAGAAATCAGTGTACATAAAAGGATCTGTTTTCATAATGTTCCACAATGTAGACTAAATGTGTTATTATTTTAGGTAAGCTAATCAGTCATGGAAATCAGCTTATAAAATACAGTCCCAAGTTGTTGTGAAATAGACAGCACAGGTACAGGTATCTCTCTCCTTCGCTTTACATCCCCATATGAAGTTACAGTGCAAGATGCTATGTCAGATAAATGCCTCCGACCTGGCGAGACTGTGATGTGGTGCAGGATTATCACTTGNACACCGGAAACTGAATTTTTCTTTACCGTTCTGTTTTCATTTCACAATGAGGTCTAGTTAATAAAACATAATAATATCAAACATAATATTATTATCAATTTCATTGTGAAATGAAAACAGAACGGTAAAGAAAAATTCAGTTTCCGGTGTCCGTGTGAGGCCCAATCTCTCTCGATTTGAAGCTTATGCATTGTACCATGAACCTACACCTGTAACAGTCAACCGCTTTCACACCAAGTACTTTGCCTTACTTAGTACCCCGGCGCTTAGTGCCCGGCACTAAGTGCCCCGGCACTTAATGCTAATGCCAGTAAATGCAATGGCTGCTTCAAAAAACTTTTCAGAATTTTACGGGGCGTGGTTTGCAATTCGCCCAGCCAATAGAAATTGGTACTTTTTTGGTACTTTTTTCGTACCACCTCTCTAGCAGGCACTAAAAATGAGGGTAAAAGTTCCCGGCACTAAGTACTCTTTTTGATGTGAACGCGACATAAGGGGTACTAACGGAACTAAACGGGAAAAGTACGGGGTAAAAGTACTCCGGTGTGAACGTGCCTCTTGTGTTCTTTTTAACCAAATATCTCACAAAGGGGCGTGGGGAGCGGCACCTTATTTTCTGTTTGGTATTTCGAGCCAAACACTTCAGAGACATGTTTTCTATATATCTGAGACCTATAATATATTGATGAAAAACAGTATAATAGGGGACCTTTAATCCCAAAAAATGGACAAGTTCAATTGTTAGATAACATTTAGTATCGAAATCAACACTTATCCATTAACCAATAGGAAGTTGGGTGTATTTTAAACTGTAAGCCATGAGTCAGAGAAACAATTTAACGTCTTTGCAAATTGGTGGGTAAATGAAATCCATCATGAAGGCAGAATGAGCTAAACCTTCAGATTTTCTGTTCATTATGTCATTTAAATGTTAGACCTAAATGATTACAACAACCCTCGCTTCAAGTGTTGTAATTTGCATTGAACGTGACAAACTAACAACATAATAATAATAATAATAATATTTCCACTCACCTGTAATGGTGGTCTCTGCTTTGACCAAATCACACAGTAGTGTGTTTCTTTAACTAAAGAGAAAAACAAAGAAATATAAGGAATGTGTTATTTTATTATTATAATGTACCATCAATAATAAATAGGTGACAGACTTCATGCAATATGTAATAAAACAAGCACAAAACATTTATACCATTTCATCACTGTGAAAAAAGTAAACCAATTCAGAATATCTTGAAACTTTATGAGTTTTGAGCAAATGTTGGAAATGTATTCACTGATGCTTAGTTTCCGGACATTATTTTTAGTATCTTTTATTATTTTTTCTTTTAAATCAGTTTAGCTGAAATTCCTTATGGACTATTTAGTCAGTGATAGGAAGGGATTTTATTTGGCGTTAAAAAGGGCAGGTTTACTTTTTTTTAAGTGGAAGTTAGCATTTTTCGATTATATTAGTATTATTATTAGGGTTACCTGCTTAGTGTTTAGTCTTCTTTTCAGTCCCGTGATCTACACTCTTAATGTGGGTCGGGCTTCAGGTGTACTAATCAGAGGAGAATTCAAATTTCTAAAATGGACGTCAGCTGTGATGCACGGAAACTGTATATAAACAGTGCATATACAGCTTTTCTCAGGTTAAATGACAAAATGCAGAAAAAGGTTAGCAGAGAAAAGGATGAGACGCAGATAAAAGACACACTGAGTGAGTGCACACTATCAGAGTGAACATCAAGATCTACTTCCTGAATGGCCCATTATGCTCTTCACGAGGCAGCTTCAAACGCCGAGGGTATTATTATGACAGTAATATATGGGGACTTCTTACCTCTTTTAACTCCATATCATTCTCAGAGTCAATCTGTGTCTCTTTAATGATGTAAAACCTCACAGAATGGATTAAAGAAAGAAGTTTATTAGTTTCCAAATGATCAAAGATTCAAGGACGATTGAGCAGGAATATAAATTATTTAACAAATGAGTGGTTTGGGACAGGTTGGTGGGCTTTCTTTATGAAACGAGTTAGCCGCTACCTGGAAGCACAAAATACGGATTAATAGCTCCTATTTAGAGAGTCTTACACACTGCGTTGAGGTTTATGTTGTTTTTATTAAATGCTTTATGTACAAATACAGGTTACACACAGAACAAAGCACGCATTAGAAATTACACACTGTACATTGTTGTTTGCTTTCAAGCCAAACAATTTTTTTAATTTTTCACGATTACGGTTTCACACATATCATTTAATCCACAATATAACTAAGGCTAACTTTAGTCGTATCAACTCAGTTTTAACATGAAGTCATCTGAGGTCCATATCGCTATCAGTTAGGCTTAGGGGGAAACTTGAGGTGCGATTTAGATTTCGGAAAAACATTTCATATTATGAGTCCAGGCTATTTAGTCACTTAGCATTTAGGTCTTCAATTCTGGACAATGTTTGGTTTCCATCTGTTGCCTTTAATGGAGTTTGTCAGGTCATTTGTGCTCAGAGCAATTTGTGTTTCTCTGTCTGTCACCATAAAAAAGATGAAAAGTTAAAGCCACAGCTGGAATCAAAACAGGAAGTGAAGCGTCTGCAGACAAACACTTTATCTGCAGACGCTTCAAAAGACAAATGAACCACAGAACTGCTTTTGATTTATTTTCAAACAAGCCAAACAATTAACACATTTTGTGGAAGAAACATGTCTGGTAGAAGCGTGTCAGAACCGAACACATTTTAGCTGTAGGGTATGAGTCTGGGAAAGATCCACTTAAACCAGACTGAGCCTATAGCCAGAGCAATCAGTGAACTGTGGAGGAAGGGGATGGAGGTTGAAAAAAGCTCATTTTAAATTTGAGGTGACGTTGGATTTGCAGCTGTTCCTGGTTTTCAGACCCATCCCGTCTTTACGCTCATTTTGAGTGACCCACAATTAGCTTACTTTTGCACCTTGTAGTGTGTAATAGTGGAAGGCAATAGACATGGGATGTTTCACACACTTTTCAATATTCTAATCCACCTTTAATGCTGTGTTGAGTGACGTTGACGCATAGGAACAAAGAAATTATGAATATGACAAATATGAGCACCTTAAAAGGCAAACATATTGTTTTCCGGGCATTACAGGCGTTGGCTAGTTAACGCTATTATTAACTGCACTAAAGGCAATGAATGGAAACTATTTCTCAAAATCTCAAACATTACTCTGCAGTCTAATGTCAGACATCTGAAATATTAGTATTGATTTTTTCTGGGAGGGGGCAGAGGGGGGTATGAATTTAAAAGCTAAAAACAACCTTCCCCTACATGAATGAATGTCTCTTTTTTTTTTTCCTCTGCATTTATAAAAACGGAATACTTCAATAATGTGTTAAATATCAGGATTTTGAGGTTAATGGGGGGGGGGGGGGGGTTGTATCCAAAGGAGACGAACAAAAAAGGGAAACATTTCAACATTTTAGAAGGAATTTAAAAAATATATAAAAGGTTTGAAATAGGAGGTCACATATCTGGAGCACCTTCAGTATCTACCATAGGGATGTTTTCTGTAGCCCCCTCTTGTCAGCCGTAAAACAGGGGCTTTGTGACTTGGACGGGAAGTCCCCCATTCCTCCTCTGCAAAAAGAGTTAACACACATTGAAGGCAGCTGCTTCGTTCACTGTGCTGCCATAACTTCTGTAGGCTCGGGTGTTGTATACCTTCCTTTCACAACCCTTTTAACTAAAGCCAAGAACATTCAAACCAGCAAATGTTATCCCAGCGTCTCCCCACAGAAAATACATTTCACAAGCACTTGCCCTCTGTTGGCCCACTCCTGAGATCTGACTGTCAGCAGCCCCTTCCTTGAAGCCAAATCACATAAAGATGGCACCTCTGCTGCATGGCACATTGCACTGCTTCCAAATAAGAAAGTGTTTATGGAGCAGAAAATCAAATCATTGCCCCCTTGGTTTTGGGTTTGGTACGACCTCAACACCCCAATGAACAATTCATCGTGCTGAAAATGAATGAGCCTGCAGACCCTCTGTGACGACCAGCTTACTGCATCGCGCCGCTGTCATGGGACAACCAACGTTTGGTGATTTTAAAGGTTTTGATTCAATTAAAGGTGTACATGTTTTATTAATGGTTTGAGGAATGTAAATATGCTTGTGCTTATCTGACAGCAGTGATGTGTGCACAGCAGTTGTAAATAAGCCAATAGTGACAGCTTTTCTGGAATAAGCCAATGAGGGCACATATCCAAAAGGCAAACACACTCCACCTTTTACAACGGGCATCGGTTCTCCCCCTGAGCTTCCTCTGGCACATTTACTGTTCTAGTCAAAGGCAGCCCGTGGCCACGGAGGGAGGAGGGGTGGTGCATGCAGGAGCCCCCCCCCCCCCCCGGGTGATGATTAGATTCTGTGCTTCCCAACATCTTTTAAATATCAGTACAGCAGCAGACAGCATTGTTTGGCCAATACTCTTTTCTTAAGAGGAATTTAAATGAGGTCCAAGGATGTTTCTCAAAAAGTCTGTTTTTAAAATCATACACTGGGTCTTGTCTACAAATTCAAGTAATTAAATTCAACAAAAGGGGGAAATTGCTTTTGTGAAATATTACTGGCTTAAATTCAGGTGCAACGATGACACTGGAAAACACGTCATGTGTTATCGCAGATATCGCTGTATGTGCTAAACTGACTATGGGATGATAGGATGGCGTGATGTGATTTTATCACGGGTTGCAATTAAAAACACAATAAGTTATACAATGTGAATTTCCATTAATGCAATAATTATAAATATCCTCACTTTAGTGACTTGAAAGACTTTCTCAATATCGTTAAGAAGGAATAAAACATTTCTGAAATACAGAAATTGTCTTGCAAGAAATCCCAGACTTTTATTAATGCAGCTGAACCTTAAGAATTATCATAACCTTATTAAAGATTGTTTGTTTGTGCCCTATCTTCATTTTCAAATAACCTACCAATTAATAATTATTTCTAACTTCATTTATGCTTTCATAGTGTTATATTACATAACAGCAAACTATTGACAGTGGGAACAAATAGAGAGAGAAGAGATGACACATGAAGGGTGTGACTCATATATTGTATAGATGTTCAGCTTACGGAAATAAACAGTACTTACCATAGTTGTTATAGGATTCATCACTGTGGCCATGTCCATATTCATAATAATCTGAAATACTAAAAGAGGACACATTGAAAAGAGTTAATATCAAGAACAACAAGCATTTGTCAAGAATCCCTTAGAATATGAAAAGATGCTGACATATTTTCTTTAGGTAAAAATAATTTGAAATATACATGAGGTTGGCAATGTGTTTTATCCTATCATCATATACTTTCTTAACATGTCACACAAAGCCATGTTTTTGCAAAGCTCTGTAATTTCCAGTAAGAGCTGGGCTCTGAAGTTTTCATCAACTTTACTAAGAAGTATTTCTTCAACACAGCTGTAGTTAGAATTTAGGCAGCTTGACGGTGTACGTTTGATTAAAAACACCTACAGTGCCATGTTGCTCGCTAATATCTTTTTAATTATTTTTGGATTCCAGTGAAGAAGTCTAAGATATTTAGGGTTTTGGATTCACAGACAAAAGGCCAATTTGTTTTGGGATTTATTAACAGTACCTTTTATCATATTTCATTATGAGTGACAGTGGACATGTGGTGACTGTGCGTGTGCATGCGTGTGTATAAACTTCACCTCTTTGTCTGATTGCTGTAGTTTTCCTCGTAGGCTTCGTAACTGTCGTCGTCGTATTCTCCACCGTACCCATCGTCGTAGCCCTGCGAGGAAACATAGTTATTAAAGTCGACTTGCCTCCAAATCTCTATCCAGTCTAACTGGGTAGAGGTGAATGTAAAACAATCAATACTTAGCTCCCTGGGCAAAGTCCATTACTTTGTGTCCATAATAAGAGAGGGAACAGGAAAAATTCCTGTCCAACAGAGATTATTGATTCAGGCTTGCAGGGGAGCATGTCTCACTACTGGAGCGTGATAGACAGCTTCTGACTCTCACACTGCAATATGGATCTGAACTATTGATAAGTAGCTACTTGAGAAACGTGCACAAGCCAGCAGGTAGAGTCATGTTAAATAACAATTAAAATGGCTTAACAGCATGAACAGTAACAACAAAGACTTGCTGTATAAAGAATGTCACTGTTAGTATTTGTACCTCCCATGCTGCTGTGAGCCAAGAACACCTATCCATATATTACTCTAATCTGCATATTTCACTAACCACACAGCTCTTCTGTTCTCTTCCAAAACAGATTCTCTGTTGTGTTTGATGAGAAATCTGACAGTTTCATTCATGCTATATGTAATTGCGTAATAACAAAAAGCTGTCAACTTTTTGTTTTTGTTGACAAATGGTCAAAGATGTCTGCAGAGTACATTCTGTTGCAGGTTTGAGCCTCCAGTCCTAATATTCAGTTAAGAACTATCCACATCAGAAGACTCCGAGGCTTTGCATGTAACCTGGTTTTGAAACAATTCAAGTAACCATTATAACTTGGTTAGATGAACAAGAAACCACAGAGGGGCGCGCTAAGAAGCTTTTAACATCAAACTATTTTAATAGGAAATTGATTACTAGAGCATCTCATCACTTGAACGATCAGTCGGTTTTCTTCTTATTTGTATCACTGTTAGACTTAAAGGTGTCATTTCCACAGGAGGTAGAGAAGACACCCCCTCACCTTTACAAATCCAATTGCTCATCAAAGTTGCTTTCAAATCAAGACTGTGCACTCGCAGCAGTTACGTTTTAGGAGCATATATTATTACTTTAGGGCTTCATGCCCTAGCAGGACGTTTTTTGGATAGAAAAAAATATGAATGTTATGTATTTAAAGCTAGTTCTCCTAGGACACTATTTACTGTACACTCATGCCTCTCAAATAAGGAAGCTAGTATTGGTCAGTTGAATGATAAAGCACTCATTTATGTACAATTTTTTTCCCAATCTAATTTCAATACTGTTACACAATATAAACAATGTCATTATTTCTTAGATTGAGATTTATGTGCATTTATATAAATGAAGGAAACACATCTGTCTTTAGATCGTTCACCCACTTCTGAAAACAAACCGTGTGTGGACTGATCTATCTGAAGAATGTACTCCACACAATATTCAGTTTAATGGTTTATTCATGACAGAGGGGATAATGAATCCCGGCGGACAAAAGGTTTACGTAAACAGCTTAACCTGAATAACACCTCCACTGGAATAAGGCCAAAGTGTGTGAAGAACAGTAAACGTAGCCATTGTCTGCTCTTGTAATTGTGGGATCTCGCTCATTGAAGATATTTAGTAGAGTTTAAAGTGCTTATGTTTCTTTTTTCATCATGATCTAATCTCTTCTAATCCTTCAAAGCTTTGCTATTTAAAATCGAGCTCCATGTAGATGCATGCATGTGTGCAGCTCATCTTAGAGATCGAATACATTTTAAATCAGCAGGATGGGATGTGTTGAAAGGCTTCAATAACCAGACGAGGTTTTAACAGTCCATTATTCCTGTATGCCTGTAACAATAGAGTAATATCATCTTGCTTTAGGTGTCGCTGCTTTTGGTGATGCTTTACGACACCAAACCATATTGGTGTGGAGGACATCAAGTGCAGCAACACAAATAAATTACATTTTCTTGTTCACTCTCTCCCTCTAATGACGGGTATAGCTGACTCAAAAAGCTCTGGTTCCTGTGTGGCTTTATTTTTGGGAACATGAATTTGACTAAATTAAAGTTAGGGATTATGTCAGGGATTAAGTTGTTCAGGGGATCCAATACTTCTCCCTTTCTTGCATGAGTCTTTCCCCACAAAGGCCGAGTCAGAGACCTGCGTATCTCAGTAATTGACCGGTTTTGTTAGCAATCCCACGTGACAAATCGCTCCACGCTGGACTATAAATGTAAAGAGATCAGTGGACTAATTTCAGTCAAATGTGTTATTATATAAACCTTCAGTCTTGATAGAGTTATGCAGGAATAAAGTAATGTAGCCTAAGACTCGAGTTCTTTATAGAAATATAGTATCATTTAAAGTGTGATTCTATTTGTAGCCTTTTATACAAATTATGAAAAATAACTCAAAAAATATTACATTGATGCTGAATTCATTTGAACCCCTCTTGTGTCAGCATAATGTTTGTTGTAGCTGTTTGTTAACTGGAAGTGTGTGTGTGTGTGTGTGTGTGTGTGTGTGTGTGTGTGTGTGTGTGTGTGTGTGTGCGTGGTGTGTGTGTGTGCGTGCGTGTGTGTGTGTGTGTGTGTGTGTCAGTTATCTCGGTCCAGTTCATGCTTTTACATCTAGAGAATGTGAGGCTATACTGTAGTTTCCAACCTTACACTGTATTCTAAAGAAGCTTTGGACCATACTGTTAGGTATTTCTTCAAAACCTTAATGCTTTTGGATCCTGTAAGTGAAGGTTAATTGACTGTGGGCCCACATGGAGGAGAGCATTATGTCTTTGTACATCTATAGTCTTACTTTATCATCTTTCTGAAACAAATAAACTGAGTGAATAAACTGTGTTTATCTCTTCAACATAAGCAACTAGTGTTAGCATGTCTGTCTAAACTGCTTATGCTAGCTTTCTTAGAAAGTAGCACAACGATTACAAAATGATAGTGTGAAATAATAAACGTACTTCTTCAAAAGGAGATATGGAACTGGTATTACCCTAGTACAGGGGCGCCCACACTTTTTCAGCTTGGGAGTTACTTTTAAAATGACCAAGCCCAAAAGATCTACCTGCAGGGCCGCCCCTGCCCAATCTGTGTCGTGAGCGCGCGGGGGGTGCTAGTGGACTAAACGGCGGATAAACTGTGTACATTAATTGCGCCGCATTTGCGCTTCAGATGAGGAGGTGAGGCCCCCTCATAACTGCATGAACCTGTATGGCACAATACAACTCAGACTGGCTTACCTGTACGTCAATCAAGTGGCAAATGCCATAGTAAGGATGGATGATAGGCTTTATTTTTCCTTTTTTTTTTTCAATGCCATGCCATCTACCCACACTACCTTTGCGATCGATCGACCGATCGATCGCGATCGACGTATTGGGCACCCCTGCCCTATTACATAAGTAATGTGAGACAGATCATTTCATTGTTGTTTCCCACAGGATGGGTCTCTGTGTACACAACGTTGTCCCTCTTATGCTTCCTGGTCTCAATTACGTGGATTATACACAATTTGATTTTGTGGGATATACAAATAATAGTAAATTCCTTTATGTTGCTACAAAAAAGTCTGTGAGAACAGCTTGAAATATTTGTTTAACTTTTTTATTTGTAAAATGGACAAATCTGAATAGCACTGTTAGTAAGAAGCACTACAACCCATGCAATATACTGTATAATTCTTTAATTCAGCATCAGCTCAGAAAGAACATAACAAAACATCTGTCTTATCTCTCAGCTGACCTCTGTATTAATTTCACATACGACACAGGCTTGGGTTCGACAAGGTATTAGGTGTGAATAGCCCGGCCCCTAATTAATGAGGCTTGATTCAACAAGTTTGACTCATCTGCAAAAACAATTAACACTGGTCCTTTTGAACAAGGCAGAGGGAATAAATCAAATGTTAACACAAGGGTGGAGAGTCCTCGCTCAGTGCAATTAGGACAGCAAGAACCTAAAGGCCCTTAGCACTGTGCTTCATTATCAATTGACAACCTGTATAGCCCCTGACAGTGACTGATCTTCATGGGGGGCTGCCTGTGAATGCCTCTCCACGCCGCAGAGTGTGCAGGAAAATGAGATTTGCAGCCTTTTGTCTCAGTGAATAGATGCTGCTCTTTACCGCCTTCTACCTGTGCAAATTCAAAAAGCAAGAGCCCTTTGTTGTTGGTTTAACCCCTGAAGTAGGAGATCACTTTTGAATATATTCACTCAACTTGTGTCATGGTTAAATGCGAGAAAAGGGCTAATCTTTCCACGTGAGATTGATCCTTAAATCCTTTCAAGAAAGGTGAGAATTAAACAATATCGTATTTGTCATTTTTTGGCTGAACGGATGCTCGAGAACAAAACAAAGAAATCTTCAGATGTAATCGCAGTACTTGGTGTGCTTGTAGAGTTTAGCATTAAGCTTCTGTCTGCTTCTTTCTTCACACCGGGCTTCAGTGCCGGATGATATCCAACTGGAGCCATTATGCATTGTACCTGAGTCTTGTTTTCTATTATATAATCGAGTGGAAGTGTGTGTCATAAAACTGTTTTAATAAACAGAAGGGTTCTGCATGGAGAATTTGCATAATTTATCAAACAAATGTGAACTCAGCAGTGTATCCCAACCCATTGTTACAAAGCAATTAAAGGTGGCCTGAGAAACCGCTCTGCTACAAGAAATATACAGAATCTCACACATCTTTTATGTTCATGAAATAGATGATATGGGGAGAATTTTACCCCCCGTTTCAAAAGGGTGTCCTTTTGCCTTTTCCACAGTAGATAGATTAGATTTTTTTTCTTCAAAGCCTCCCAAAGCTCTGTGTTTAATCACATTATGGCATTTGCCGCACTGCCTCGGTATGGTTGCAGGGCTCAGGTTTAAAAACCAAGCTATGCGTTTCAATTTTTACCAGCAATTTGTACAATTCATGGTCGTCTGTCAGCGACAGATTCCTGCATGACTCTCCAGATTCCTCTCTTCTATCATCAGCCCTGACATTTAAAGATAATATTTGATCCAGATGGGATTTGATCTCTAACATTAAACTGAGGCCATGGTCCCAGTCTATACAAAATGCCATCAATCACAT